ATCAATTCGACGGGATTGATTGATTCATTGATTCATTGATTGATTGGTTGATTGTATTCATTGATTGATTGATTGATTGACTGATTGATTGATTGATTGCTTGCTTGATCGATTGATTGATTGAGTGTGGAAAAAACAAAGCAAAGAGGGGAGGGCACAATATAACGTCAACAACCATAGCGAGAATGTAGGGATGACGATGCAGCTGCACAAGGATGAGCACGAGGAGGGGGAAGAGTTGAGGATGAGGAGGAAGAAGAGGAGGAGGAGGACGACAACGACGATGGTGAGCGGGCAGAACGTCCACCATCACCGCGAGGTGACCTCCCCCAACGTTTTTTTTTTTCCCCAAATCAATCAATCAATCAATCAATCAATACAATTAATCAATCAATCAATATCAATCAATCAATCAATCGGGATCCCGTCGAATCGATTGGTTCGATAGGATCTTGATCAAGATCCTGTCGAACCAATCGATTCGACGAGATCCCGATTGATTCATTAATTGATTGATTGATTGATTGATTGATTGATTGAGTGTGGAAAAAACAAAGCAAAGAGGGGAGGGGGTATTATAACGTCAACAACCATGAGGAGAATGTGGGGATGGGGATGCGGCTGCAGCGGCGAGGGAGGACGGGGCATAACATGAAAGGAATGACGAAGATGAAGAGGAGGAGGAGGAGGATAAGGCGGGGGGAGGATGAGAGGAGAAACAAGGGGAAAGGTTAACAACAGTCGTATTTTTCATCACCACTTCAGGACAATCTTCACCACCTCAGGACAACCTTCACCACTTCAGGATACAGTCTGCCTAAAAAGGTGGTTTTCAAGATCTTCGGACCTTTTACCACTTCAGGACACCCTTCACCACTTCATGATGCAGTCTGCCTAAACATGTAGTTTGACTTTTACTTCTTCATTATGAAAAAAATGTTAAGTCTTATGGTTTTGTTAGTTTTCCACAAATTCAGTGTTTATGCCAACTTCTGCCCAGTGATCCTCAGATAGGAACAAATCTTTGGCTTTGGGCCAATCCTTCATTTGCAAACTAACCCAGTCCATTATCCCTTTGCCCTTTAGGTTTGCTACATCAAACCACTAGTACCTCTACCAGTGTTGGGAAATTACAATGTACTGGTCTGTCCCCGAAGAAACGGTGGTAGGACCCAAGGTCCGCGAGTCCCATAAATCTTAGTTTTCTTTTACCCGCGCATGAAAGAAAAAGGAAAAAGAAAAAAAGCTTATGTACTGCAATGATGTCGGGCAGGGTAGTCCAGGAGGCCGTGCTCACAGTCTTCCTCTACAAAATGCATCCTACAGCAAAGACAGTCACATTCTGAAACTTGTTGTTTTCTTTTTTTATTTCTCGTTTGTTTATTATGAGTCCCCTGCCAACGAGGCAGGGCGGAATCCATGATCTGCACTGGCTGAATCCGCGAGCCTCATAGGATTGTAATCCTGATATATCCAACCATTTTCACAGCCGAATGCGTGTTTCCGTTTCTTTTTTTTTTTCCTTTTGTTTCTGGAATCTGACAATCTGAATCCGTGATCTGCTCAGGCTGTGTTCCCTCAGAGGATTGTAACCCTCATCACATTGGCACTTAGAGGAATGTATCCAGCCATTTTCATGGCCAAATACATGTTTCTGTTTTTTTTTTTTTGTATGTTTTTGGAATCTAACAACCTGGCCACGGGGATGAGATGCCCTCACTGAGAGCATACTCACACTACCACTTCCAAGAATGTATACAACTGCAATCACGGCCAGAGCATTGTTTCCTTTTCTTTTTTTGTAAGTTTCACCACCGCAACTTTTCTATTACTTTTTCCTTTTTTTTTTTTCTCCCCGTGAGAGTGACATAAAGAAATGGAGTGCGACCCAGGCTCGGGAAACTCGGAGCGCAGTAAAATTCAGGGTCGGCAAAAACAGGCTCGGAGGTACTGGTGGTTGAAGACGAATGGGTGGCCGGGGCTTTTGTACTAGGTCCCTTGTTATAACATCAACTACAACAGGGTGGTTGTCGGATATTGAGGACAAAAAAATCCACGAAAATACAGTGGTCCCAGAGCTCCTCCCTTACTGCTATAAAATCCAGTCTACGGTGAGGTTGGGGGGTTGTCTCTGTCAGACGTAGTCCGAAACGGTGAGGGAGTAGGGAAGTCTAGACCTGGGTTCAAGTTGGTGACCAATCTCCCATCATAGCCAGGTTTTCAACTTCCGAAATAATTGCAGGTAGGTCTGCCAGAAACGCTATTCTCTCATAATAGACAGCAGGGACATAGACTGTCATGACAGCCCATTCTTTGGAGTCTGTATCCAGTTTGACCCAGGCCCAACGACCACCTGGGTCTGCATACTGATCGACAATGTCACATTCAAGGTCCTTGTGTATTAGAAGGGCTACCCCTCCATTGGTACCATCAGCCGGGGCCCAGACTTGTGACTGGCCATCAGTTCTGAATCTCTTGTATATTTTTTTTCTCCGAGTCCAGTTTTGTTTCCTGTAGACCAATATGAGCATTGATCGAGTGAAACTTGGATAGCAGTCTTGATCTCTTCTGTCTGTCAGAAGTGTCGCACAGTCCATTTACATTCCATGTTAGAAAGCGGACTTTATTGGTCAATGCCATCAGGCTGGTCACTGCCCCCGGAAACTTCGATATGGGATATACTTGATGGGGGGTAACCCCCCTTTCCTTTGGGCAATGCTCGATGTCGGGCTGGCCCAAGGGTAAGCCCCCAGAAGAAACCTGACCGTGGAATGCGTCAGAAGACAGTATTGGCGCTGCATCCACCCTGGTTATCCAGTCCGCAATCTCTGCTGCAGAAAGTTCTGTGGATAGTCGGATTGTTCACAGAGTCTCACTCCTATGCTGGACCAGGTCCTGCAAGGGCAGCCAATAAACTCGGGCCACACACCAGTTAGCAAAGGAAGCAGATATGGCTTGGATGGCCATAAACATGGTGCAGCAGGGCTTTTCTACCTTCCGGAAGTACTGCCACT